GTCGCTCCGGGCGCCTGTCCCGACCCGCCGTGGGTTCATCCAACCGGTCCGGGCTGCCTCTTCGCCTCCGTCCCCGCGGGCTGTGCCCGCAGTGCTCGGACCCCGCGAGCTGCGGGGGGCGCGTCGCTGCTGCTGGTCGGGGCTCTAGGGATAATAAATGATAGAGGATACAATGACTTTGCTGTCTCTGCTGGGTCGCATCATGCGCTACTTCTTGCTGAGACCCGAGACGCTTTTTCTGCTGTGCATCAGCTTGGCTCTGTGGAGTTACTTCTTCCACACGGACGAAGTGAAGACCATCGTCAAGTCCAGTCGGGACGCGGTGAAGATGGTGAAGGGCAAGGTGGCCGAGATTATGCAGAACGATCGCCTTGGAGGACTTGATGTGCTGGAGGCCGAGTTTTCCAAGACCTGGGAGTTCAAGAATCACAATGTGGCGGTGTACTCCATTCAGGGCCGGAGAGACCATATGGAAGATCGCTTCGAAGTTCTCACCGATTTGGCCAACAAGACGCACCCATCCATCTTCGGTATCTTCGATGGGCACGGTGGCGAGGTAGGAGTTCTCTGGGTGTGTGTGCGTGAAAATAACCGGTCGTCGCCTGCGTGGCGGGGTCAGATTTGAGTGAGAGGGGCGTGGTGGTGACCTGGTGAATGCAGATGTGCTTCAAGTTGCCAGGACCCTGCCAAGAACATCTTGGGTCCGAGCGTTCAGTTTAGCCCAGAGAAGTGAGGGTTTGATACAAAGTTCCCAAGGTCAGAAGCAAATAGCTGCTAGTTTTCCGGGGAGAATTAGTAATATATCCAGTGAACTTTGCCCTCGGGCCTCAGTGTACCGATTCTAAAGTTTGAGGCGAAATAGCCGCGAAGGAAGACAGTGCACCCCTAACGGGAAGAAGCCTGCATCTGTCCGATAGACTCAGTGAAGATGAAGGAAGCTGTGACCCCCAGAGGCAACGCTGCGCTTCTTCCCAAGTCTCTCAACTTTGCTAGTGCAATGGGATTGGACAGGGATGCCTCACTGGTGGTGGGTTTTGGCTGCCTTGCCTTTGTAGAGGTGGCTGTGGGCAGAGCAGGCGGCGGCCACACCTGACCTCTGTGTAGTGGCCAGCTTGGGGATACCGATGTCTCTTTCCTTCTATAAGCCTTTGTTAGGGGTTTTATCTAGGAGCAGGAAATGGGCTAAAGTCCACTTTAGGTCTTTCTCCTAAATTTCTGTGACATTTGATACTCCCGAAGTGTGGAGTCTCAGGTTTCCTGGAGGTCCTGCCCTTGGGCCTGTGCCCAGATGAAGTGAGTGTTAAAATGTGGCTCCACAGCTAAGCTCCCAACGACAACATCTGTCTCAGTTGGACGCTTGTAAGTTTCTTTGCATCATGCTCTCCCACCCCTTTCTTGGCAGCATTCCTTATCACCTATTCCTTCTCTTCTTCCTTCCACTGCATTCTTAGCCATCTTTCTCCTCCCTGTGGGCTCCAGGGAATTGTAGGACTGTCCTCCTCCTCTGGTGTTTGCTTGTTCTTTGCTCCAGTGGCTTTTTGTTTTTGTTTGTTTGTTTTGGTAAACACCGAGGAAGCTTTTGATTGACTGTCTTTTCTGATTCTCCACTCACTATTTGCAAATCTTGCCCAGGTGCTTACCTGCCAACTTTGCAGAGAATGCCAAACAATTGGAAAGCTTAGATGATAAGATTGGAATTAGTCCTTAAACATTTTTTTCCCTACTCCCTCTGCCTGTTTATAATGTGTCCTTCAGAATGAAAGTTTCTCATTCACTGTACCTTTGTAGTCCCCAGGTGGTTTGGAGTTCTCCCCTTGACCATAGAGTAGTTGAAAGACAAGATGCTAATTGAGATAGGAGACACTGCATACTGAGCAAAAAGATACCTGAATGACAAAGGTGACAGTGTAATGACTGAGTCATAATGCCATTTTATGTGCCTGGACTCAGTGGGGTGAAGGAAACTGATTCTTTCTACTGTCAGTAATTTAGTAAACATATTTATTGTATATTTGGGTTTTGAAAACATACCTAGAAATTCTGATGGAATATCAGTGCTGTAGAATACTGGCCTGTGGTTGTCTAGATGGGACATACTGGTATGATTTGGGCTTGGACTTGTGATTGGATGATTAAAATCTTTTCACTGGAGTCTTCAGCAATGGGAGCTGTAGAGCCGAAGTTTCAGTTGAGAAGTTTCTAGCAGTGGCTGGGGTAGATGCACCACCCAGAAAAGGGTATGATGGAGGCTTTCCCTAACTCAATATTTTACATGTACCCACTTTCATTGCATTAAAAAAAGTATTATGTGAAAAGATGACTACTATTAGCCAAACACGGAAATGGTTTTTATTGCACCTTATGTTAAATTGCTTGCTGTTTTCAAAATAGTTAACATCAGTTCCCACAAAAATAGAGCAATTGTTTTATCCCCTCCTATCACATGCATTCAGCTATTTCTCTTTGGCTTTGTTTTACCTTAAAAAAAAGTAAAATAGGAAGTGCTATAAATGAGTTATTAGGTTGCTGTTGGGATTGAGATAGTAACATATACTACCAGGTGACTTCTCTCTTGCTTTTTTTATTCTCTTGTTATATCATCTGAAGAAAATCTCACGATCTAGTTATTGTCATTTATGTTCTTGGCTCCTTTAACGTTCACCAGAGGAGGGTGCCACTGCTTGACTTTTTGGATGATGGTTACATCCTTGCAGAAAAGATGCCTTTGCTGAACTATTAGTTGTGTGTATACACATGCTCACACATAAACATACACATCACAGAGGGTAAATGAGTTGAATTTTATTTGTGATAATTCATACTGATAAGCCATAAGAATGCTGTTGAGATTTCTAAGGGAACTTACATGTCCTTTTATATTCCCTCCTTATATATTGATTTTATCCTGTTTTTTAGATGATGTGCTGCTGGCTGGGGACATTGTGACCTTCCTAACGCTATATGGCTAGTTTGAGGCCTTTGGTTTGTTGGTGTTTTCACCAGACAATAAGCTTGCATGTTCATCTAGATATATAGCACTCCAGGGATGCAAAGGTGACTGAACATCACTTCTGTTCTCCAGAAGTTTCAGCCTAGTAAGAGACATAGACTTTAAGACCAAAAGTGACAGTGTGGTGTGCTTATGCTGTTCTGGGAACACAGGAACAATCATTTAAACCAACTCTCCTGCTTTAACCTCTCCAGGGCTGAGTGTATATGCTTGTGCCACTATGTCCTGTGCTTTGACATAAGATCAGAATCTCTGTGACTTAATATCAGCTGTGACCTTGGTCCAATCGCTTAAACAGCTTATCTAGGAGTATTTTATTCAGAAATGGGAGATAGTAATGAATGTAAGGTGAACTCTCTTCAGTTGTGCTGTGTCTTATTTGGGAGGACTCAATGGAGAGAAGCAGCTGGAAGACTGCCATGTTGAGGCAGTGATGGTTTACCTGTGGGAGTCACAGCTTTCGTCACTAGATAGATGCTTCTTGGGCACCCATAATTTATTAGGCATTCTGCAAATTTTCTGTGTCTTTTTAATATCTGGTGAACTTCTGCTTATTAATTAAGGATTCTATGAATGTTGAGAAAGTAGCACTCTGGTATCAGGTTCATGTTTTCTGATTACTGAAAAGGGATATTACCTATGATTAATTAGTAAATTAGTAGTCTGATTTGTACTTCAGCCTTCTATGAGTTGAGTTATATTCAACAAGTTTTGTTTTTTTCTCTTTTTTTGCACAAACACATCTGTGGACTTGTGCTGAAGACTAGACTGGATGTCTGTGACTTCACTTAGATGCATAAGGTCTAAAAGAGCTTCATCTCTATGACCCAATGGACCAGGGTCTTAGTTTTATTCTCTTGGACCCTTTCAACATCCTATCCTCCACATTATGGGCTGATGGTTGACTGCTTTCGTATGTATCTGAAGCTATGACAATGGTTTTCTTGTGTAACATAAGATCAAAACAACCAAAATTTACAAGTGAAGCTCAGATTGTGTCAGTAGACATAGAAAGGTTGTTAGTTTTAAACTTCAAAAATATCAGCTAGGGGCTGGGCTAAGCCTTTATTTAGTTCTAAGCACATGGGAGGCAGAGTAGGTGGACTTCTGTGAGTTCAAAGCCAATCTGGTCTACACAGTGATTTGCAGGACAGCCAGAGATATATAGTGAGACTCTGTCTCAAACAACAACAGCAGCAGCAAAATCAAACCAAATCAACCAACCAAACAAGCAAAAACCTAAAAAATATCATCTAGGAAAATGATTGGCAGTGCACTAACATATAATTTTATCCACAGGCAAAGGACATTTTGTCTTTTTTTTTTTTTAATACTATATAGAAGAAATACACCAGCCATTGATGCTGGTTTAGCTAAAATCTAGTTGGGTGATTGGATTGTTGTATGCTCACATGCTATTGTACCTTCCTGTATTAAAGGGCATATATATCTTGATGCATAGCTTGAAAAAGTTCGAATTTCATATCAGAGAAGAGAGGACTTCGAGTGCTCACTAGGAACCAGTCTTGAGGTTCAGATAAGAAACAGTGTCAGCTTGCCTGCAAGATCCAGGCGCTCAGGTTTAATTCTCACCAGCAATAAATACTTGCTTTGAGCCAGGCTTCCCTCCGAGAATGCCCCAAAGCTGCAGACATTTCACAGACATGAACATCAAACTTCATTTGTATTCAAAGGCAAGTGGTGTATGAAGCCTCAGTATTTCAGGTTAGTCTAGTCAGAATAGAATCTAGACCTCCAAGGAGCTTTGTACCTGGGTCTCTTCTTGGATCGCCTGTCAGCATGTGTCCTGACTTCTTCTCCAGTGTGTATCCTTACTTCTTTTCCAGCGTGTGTCCTTTTTCTCCAGCATGTGTCCTGACTTCTTCTCCAGCGTGTGTCTTTAGTTCTTCTCCAGTGTGTGTCCTGACTTCTTCTCCAGTGTGTGTCCTTACTTATCTACTTGTGTGCTGTCATATTGCCTGCGAGGGTAGTTATGAGGAATGGTCTTCCAAAGCCCTGACAAAGCAACTGCAAGGGTGTTATTGAGGATTTTGGAGCATTATATAGCATCCTTTCTATAAAGACCAAGAGAGACATAGTACCCTAATACCTTCTTATTTACATCTTAAGAGTATTGAGTCATATAACCGAGTCCTCCTGTATCTTTTGCTGCTAGAAGTGCTGAGAGCCAAGCCTCTGTCCTCTAGGAAATGTGTAGACCTTTATAGAATGCATACATTTGCATGCTAACCTTACTCTCAGGATAGCTTATCTTTCCTACATTCAATTTCCCTTTCTCCCTTTATATACATCATTTTATTGTCTTGTGGTGTTATATGTATTTATGTAAGTTTCTTTGGCTCCTTCTGAAATAACATATAGTTCTAACTAAATAAATTACAAATGGTGTAGTCAATGATCTGCTTTTCAGACATTACAGCTGAGGTTAGCAAATGTTTAACTCTCACATTATAGTGTGGAAGAGATCTAGGGGTTTACTAAGGAGAAATACTTTACGGCTTAAGAGGAAATAAATATTATTTTGG